ATTTTTGTTATCAGATTCCCAAAGGTATTTTTCTCAACTCTTATTTGTATTTTCAGTGGAAATTTTTTTCTTGCTTATTTTCTTATGCTAAAATTAGTACATGTGTCTGAATGAAATGAAAATGAATTAGAAAACATGAAAATTATACGTAAGTCTCATAAGCAAGACAAAATCACCATTAATCTTTTGATGTCATTTTTACCTTTAATAAGTCTGTGTGCATTCTTGTTTGTGTGTACATCTTCGTGTATGTCTGTGTATGTTTACATACGAAATCATGGCCAGATAGCATGTACATATATTTTTTGGCTTTCAAAATTAATGCTGCATCAAATATTCAAAAATTCTGTTATTTATAATTGTTATCTTTGGGAAGATTGATTCAATAGGAACTACTAAGTTTTGTCCAGAAGCAAGGCCTAACTTATGTTTTACTTAATTATATTTGTTTCCTATTTCATAAATGTAATAATTTCTTAATTATATAGATAGAAAAAGTAACTTATGGCTTGTATTTATTGAAATATAAATTCATTTGTATTTATTGAAATAAAATTGTATTTATTGAAATATAAATATAATTTCACCTTAATATGTGTGGTTAAATTCATTCTATTTCTGTGAAGATTTGTGAAACACAGCCTAAAAAGCAAACTGTGATCACAGATTACTTCTGAAACATAATTCTTGACTATATGGGAGTTAAGCAGAGCAAAGAAACATGTGCTCTTTTCCAACATTAAGAAAGAAAGAGTTTTAATGTGTTTAAAATTCAACCTAATTTATATGCTTGTAACAGTTCTGAAGTTGATTAAAGTCTGTAGAGTGAGTGAAAATTACATGTAGTTCTCATTTTAGTTGACCTTCCATGTTAATTAGGACATTTTTTTCATTTATTTTGTAGCTAAGAACATTTTCTTTTTCTAGTAAACTTTGATTCTGGTTTTTTTTTTTTTTTTTTTTTTTTTTTTTATTTCTTCTTGCTTTAATGAAGTTGATCACTTTCATATCACTTTTAACTTTTCTCAAGATGTTGAATATTATTTTGAAATACAAATCAAAGCACTATCATGAGGAAAATTTAGGCAGTTCCAGTTATCTATACTTATAAGCCAGTCATATATTCATTTGACAAATATATATTTAATGATATATGTTATGGTTTGGCTCTGTGTCCTTGCCCAAATCTCATCTTGTAGTTACCATAATTTTCATGTGTTGTGGGAGGGACCCAGTGGGAGATGATTTAATCATAGGGGCAGGGCTTTACCATGCTGTTCTCATAATAGTGAATGGCTCTTATGAGATCTGGTGATTTTAAAAAAGGAGGAGATTCCCTGCACAAGCTCTCTTTGCCTGCTGCCATCCATGTAAGGTGTGACTTGCTCCTCCTTGCCTTCTGCCATGTGAGGTGTCCCCAGCCAAGTGGAGCTGTAAGTCCATTTAGCCCTTTTTCCTGCATAAATTACCTAGTCTTGGGTATGTCTTTATCAGCATCATGAAATGGACTAATACAGTAAATTGATACCGGGGTGAGTGCTGCCAAAAAGATACCTGAAAATGTGCAAGCGATTTGGAACTGGGTAACAGGCAGAGGTTGGAACAGTTAAGATGGCTCAGAAGAAGACAGGAAAATGTGGGAAAGGGTGGAACTCCCTGGTGACTTGTTGAATAGTTTTGACCAAAATGCTTATAAGGATATCAACAATGAAATGTAGATGAGGTGGTCTCAGATGGAGGTGAGGCACTTGTTGGGAACTGGAGCAAAGGTGACTCTTGTTATGTATTACAAAAAGTCTGGTGACATTATGCCCCTGCCCTAGAGATTTGTGGAACTTTGAACTTGAGAGAGGTGATTTTGGTTATCTGGTGGAAGAAATTTCTGAGCAGCAAAGCATTCAAGAGTGATTTGGGTGCTGTTAAAAGTATTCATTTTTAAAAGGGAAACAGAACATAAAAGTTTGGAAAATTTATAGCCTGACAATGTGATAGAAAAGAAAATCCCATTTTCTGAGATTTTTCAAGCCTGCTGCAGAAATTTGCATAAGTAACAAGGAGCTGAATGTTAATCACCAAGACAATGGGGAAAATGTCTCAAGGTATGTTAGAGGTCTTCATGGCAGCCCCTCTCATCACAGGGCTAGAGGCCTAGGAGAAAAAAGATGGTTTTGTGGTCTGGGCCCAAGGCTCCCCTGTTCTGTGCAGCCTATGGACCTGGTCCTCTGTGTTCCAGTTGTGCCAGCCATGGCGAAATCGGGCTAAGGTGTAGCTCAGGCTTTTGCTTTAGAGGGTGGAAACCCAGCAACTTCCAGGTGGTGTTGAGCCTGCAGTTACATGGAAGTCTAGAATTAAAGTTTGGGAACCTCCAGCTACATTTTAGAGGATGTATGGAAATGCCTGGATACCCAGGAAGAAGTTTGCTGCAGGGTTGGGGCCCTCATGGAGAACCTCTGCTAGGGAAATGTGGAAGAGAAATGTGGGGTCAGCACCCTCACAATGAGTCTCTACTAGGGTACCACCTAGTGGAGCTCTGAGGAGAGGGCCACTGTCTTTCAGATGTCAGAATGGTAGATCCATTGACAGCTTGCATCGTATGCCTGGAAAAGCCACAGACACTCAATCCCAGCCCATGAAAGCAGCCCAGAGTGGGGCTATAGCCTGTAAACCCACAGGGGTGGAACTGTCCAAGTCCATGGAAACCTACCTCTTGCATCAACATGACCTGGATGTGAGGCATAGAGTCAAAGGACATCATTTTGGAGTTTTAAGATTTGACTGCCCAGCTGGATTTTGGACTTGTGTGGGTCCTGTAGTCCCTTTGTTTTGGCCAATTTCTCCTATTTGGAAGGGTTGTATTTACCCAATGCCTGTACCTCCATTGTACCTAGAAAGTAACTAACTTGCTTTTGATTTTACAGGCTTATAGGTGGAAGGGACTTGACTTGTCTCAGATGAGACTTTGGACTGTGGACTTTTGAGTTAATGTTGACATGAGCTGAGATTTTGGGAGACTATTGGGAAGGCATGGTTGGCTTTGAAATATGAAGATATGAGATTTGGCAGGGGCTGGGGATGGAATGTAATGATTCGACCCTCTCTCTACCCAAATCTTATGCTGTAGCTTCCATAATTCCCATGTGTTGTGGGAGGGACCCTGTGGGAGATAATTGAATCATAGGGGCAGGTCTTTCCCATGCTGTTCTCATGATAGTGAATGGGTCTCATGAGATCTGATTTTTGCTTTTTTAAAGAGAGCCCTCACACACTCTCTTTGCCTGCTGCCATCCATGTAAGACATGACTTGCTCCTCCTCACCTTCTGCCGTAATTACAAGGCCTCCCTAGCTTCATGGAACTCTAAGTCCATTGAACCCCTTTTCCTGCATAATTTACCCAATCTCAGGTACATCTTTATCAGCAGAGTGAAAACTAATTAATAGAATATGTGTGGTAGGTACTCTTCCAGGTACTTAAGCTAAATCTGTGAACAAAATAGACAAAATTCATTGCCCTGAAGAAGCTTATACCTTGATGGGGAAGAAGATAATAAAAGAGTTATCAGTAAAATATGGAGTGTTTCTAAGTACCATAGAGACAATTAAAGACCTAAAAGATGTGGAGGAGTATCCATGCAGTTATCAGGAGAAAAGCATTCCAGGCACAGTGATCAGCAAGTGGAAAGTCCCTGAACTAGGAACATGTCTGGCATTTGAAGAAGAGTAAGATGACCAGTTTGGTTTAAAGAAAGAGTGGGAAGTGTTGTCACAGGAGATGAGGTGAGAGTAGTGATAGGGGACTGATTGTATATGGCTATTAATGGAACTTCACAAGGTTATCAATGGAGTGACATGATTTTATTTTGACAGGGTCATACTGAGTGCAGGATGTGCAGAGTAGACATTGGGATGGGACAAGGGTGGAATCAGGGAAACCAGCTATTAGGCAGTTGTGATAATTCAAGTCAGAGAAGATTATAATTTGGGGCCAGGATATAATCAGAGGTGGTTATTAAATATTAGGGTAAATTGAATTTGCTGACAGATTGGATTTCTGGTGTGAGAGAAAGATAGGAGTCATGGATGAATAAATACTATTTTAGCCTGAGCACTTGGAAGGACATAATAGTCGTGAACTGAGATGAGGATGAACGTGAGAGGGGCAGATGTTTTGGAAGAACAGGAGTTAAGTTTTAGAAATGTTAAGTTTGAAATACTTAATTGATATGTATGTCTGCTTATCAGAGGAGAAAACCATGCTAGGGATACAAACTTGGGAGTCTTTATTGTAGAGATGGTGTTTGAAACCATGAGACTGGATGAGATCACAAACAAATAGAGAGCAGAAGAGTTGCAAGGACTGAAGCATGCATTACTCCAGTGTTTAGAGTTCAACAATTTAGAGAAATATACAAAGGAAACTAAACAGTAGTGGACTGTGCCATCAGAGGATATATTGACAAATATACCAATAAATACTAAGAATGATTCAGGTGAACTTAGAATAGAATGATTAAACATCTGTCTGCCTTTCTATCTTTATCAGTGAAAGAAGGAAAATAACAAACAAGTTGTGAGATTAATATTAAAATATATACTGGAAAGGTACTGGAAAATCAGAGGATGGGGACTACATCTGTCTTCCTGAGGGCTTTTTCCCCTTTCTTGTTTCATGTAGTAAGAAAAATGGGGCTGGGCATGGTGGCTTATGCCTGTAATACCAACACTTTGGGAGGCTGAGGCAGATGCATCACGAGGTCAGGAGTTCGAGACCAGCCGGACCAGCATGGTGAAACCCTATCTCTACTAAAAATACAAAAAATTAGCTAGGCTTGGTGGTGTGTTCCTGTAATCCCAGCTGCTTGGGAGGCTGAGGCAGGAGAATTGCTTGAACCCAGGAGGCGGAGGTTGCAGCAGTGTACTGAGATACAGCACTGCACTCCAGCCTGGGCAACAGAGCAAGACTCCATCTCAAAAAAAAAAAAAAAAAAAAAAAAAAAAACAGAAGAGAGAGAAAAAAAAATGAAATATAATCAATTGCAACATAAGCTAAAAGAAAATCAAACATCAATAGAACAATTTTGTTGCTCAAGAGAATGGTAACTACTGCTAGGACTGAGACTAAAATGATACTCATAGGCAGGCAAAGATTTGTGTCATAAGCAGAAATTTGGAGTGGTTACTACCACAAGGGCGAATGAATCATGGAGAAGCCTGCATTCTAGAACCGCTGTGCATAGATGCATATTGATTGTACAGTTACCTTTAGCACTTTGTAATGTTATCTGTTATTATTAGCATAGTGAAAAATCAGAATACTAGGCCTAGAAAAAAAGATAATTTCAAGCAAAATTGAGACAATATTGTAAGACAGTTATGAAACACTGGTTCTCGAAGTTGGCTGCATTTTAGAAAAACTGGGCATTCTTTGTAAAGTTCTAATGCCATACCTCCTGAAATTTGGTTTGAGTTAGGACTAGCATTTAAAGTCTCCTAGGTGATTTTAATGTACAAATAATGATAGTCAGCAAGGTAATGGAAGCAAAGGCAGTGTGTGTGAGGATGTGTGTGTTTTGTGTCAACCATTTGTAGCACTTTGTGTTGCAATAGGTTATCCTGGTTTTGTTGGTAGATTATTGAATATGCATCTGTGCTTAATTGATATTTGTGTACTGCCCATCAAAATGTGAACTAATACAGCTTTGCAAAGAATAAAGTCCAAGGCCTAAGCCTTGCACTTGTATTTAAATAGTATATAGAAAAATTATAAAAACAACATGCGACCACTAGGAATTAATCTGATTGGTTGGTTAGTAGTTTTAGCACAAAATCTTTGATAGGCCCTTACATGTGCCACATACACTTTGTGCTTTTACTGGGAAATACTAACTAAAAATGTATTGGAATGTTTCCATTCTTAGGTTACCATTTAAAAAAAAAAATTATCTCCCTCCTTAGTTCCCAACATTACAGCATATGGTACATTGACATTGTGTAATATACACACATATACTCATGTATACCAGAGTACTCTGTTTTGTTCATTTTCTCGTTCCATTTTTCTCTTCAAAATTTTGGCAGGGTATAGTGAAAAAACTCAGGACACCGACTTACCAGAAATGTGTTTGGATTGTACCAGAAAGTTAGACACTTTTCTGAGAGCCAGGTAGGGGTCCTGTCCATGTACTATGGAGTAGCCATTTATACCAGTCATTCATGCTTGTCAGAGTATCATGTGTGAGTTCTTCAAATACAACATAATGAAATGTAACTGTCCTTATTATCATTGTGTGTCCTCAATAATGTAAAATCAAGTATTTATAGGAAAGACCAACTACAGGCATTATTTACCCTTAGGTTTCTGGCCTGCTTTTCAACTCTGGAGATTCTCTTTAAGGATTAAATGAACAATGTATACAATGTTCCTAATGTACCTCTGTCACTTTATCTTTGGGTTTCTTGATAGATTGAATGTTGGATATACTGAAGCCTAATTTTTGTCTTGATTCTTTTGTTCTTGAGTGTTCTTGTGGATGAACATGATTTTAATTACCACACCCAAAGCATTAAAAAAAAATCCTTTCCTTTCTAGATTCTCCCTCAATTCTACTTCTTCACTTCTAATTTATTTTTATCACCATTTCCTGGTATTCTTGTGCTGTGCTTTTGAAGTCCATTCCTTTGTTATGCCATCGGCAACTGCTAGCAGACCTATTTCCGAAAAACGCTTTTTGACAATTTAAAAGTCTTATAATCAGAACTTGGAAATAGAAAGAGAATTTAGACTTACAGCTAGGGAAATCACTAAGTTGATGTGAGAGAAAAGCAGTAACTGGAAAGGACCCAAAATAATGGACAAATATAGGATGACTAGGCAAATGTTCATTTCATGCAGTTGTGTGTCTCAGAGCTTCTAATCTCTAAGCAGCTTTTCTTGTAGTAAAATGCCATTGCATTTGTAGCTTAAGCAGAGTAATTAAAAAGCTGGCCAGGCACGGTGGCTCATGCCTGTAATCCCCGCACTTTGGGAGACCAAAGTTGGGGGATCACCTGAGGTCAGGAGTTCAAGACCAGCCTGGCCAACATGGTGAAACCCTGTTTCTACTAAAAATACAAAAATTAGCCGGGCGTGGTGGCAGGCACCTCTAATCCCAGCTACTTGGGAAGTTGAGGCAGGAGAATCATTTGCGCCCAGGAGGCAGAGGTTGCAGTGAGCCGAGATTGCGCCATTGCCCTCCAGCCTGTGGGACAAGAGTGAGAATTCATCTCAAAAAAAAAAAAAAAAATGCTGAGAAATTGGTTGATGAACAAAATCTGGAATGGCTTTTCTCTCTCTCTCTCTCCCTTTTTTTTTTCTTACTCTGTCACCGTGGCCGGAGTGCAGTGGCACGATCTGGGATCACTGCATCCTCCACCTCCAAGGTTTAAGCGATCCTCTGGTCCCTGCCCCTAGTAGCTGGAACTACAGGTGTGCATCATGGTGCCCTTGGCTTCGCTTTCTTGAGATTAATACATTTGCCTCTTCTTCAGGAAAGATAAAAATGGTGGCTCATTGGGTAAGTTAGTAGTTAGGGTGCTTTCAGTATCCTAGAGTTGACGCTACAACTGCAGTTGGAAGGAAGGAGGCTCTTTAACCAAGGTGTAAACTACAGTTGAAAAATACTGATGAAGTATGAGAATGATAGCAGCAGATTGTAATGGATTTTGAAGTGTTCCAGGTTTTAAGAGTAACTAATAGTAGAACTATATTTCAAATCTGTAATGACAACATTACAACTATAGTCTAAATACTAAATCTAGATTGCATTAAAACATTTTATGAGAATATGTAAAATTAACATATGCTAACAAGCTATCAATTTGAGTTAGAAATGCTTGGCAATAAAAGTGTTGTTTCATTTGATTGATATTGAAGTAGCCATTTGTTTTTTACTAACTTTGCATTATGGTACAGCTAGAATCCAAACTGATTAAACAGATGTAACTAATAAAATGAATTGACAGTATAATAATTGTAAAGGGAAAGAATTGAAGACAAAGCAAGTGTTTTTTGAGTTTTTTGCTGATTGGGTGGTGAGAGTGGAAGAATATGGGAAAGCATGGTATAATTCATAGACAAATCTCAGTATTTCTGTGTATTCAGTTTCATTTCACTGAGTTGTCTGATTGTAATTGAGTTGTTCATATTGTTCTCTTGAAATGTTTTGAGGCAAATGAACGCTTCTAAGAATTCAATATAGTGAAACAATAGCCACAAGACATGGTAAACTTATTGCTGATGTTAACAAAGGACAAAAAGGGAAAACATGATTTGTATTTAGTAGTGTTGGTGCTATTGCTTGGAACCAAATATTTAAAATTATTTGCGAGGCAAACAGATTCGACTTTTATGATGAATTTTGGTAATAAATCATGAAGGGACTCTTTTAATATTCAAAATAATAAGCTAAACATGCTTTTTTGTGAGGTGAATTGACTTTTAAAATGGTAATAACAAAGTCTAAAACTAATTTACAAATGATGATTTTGGTAGAACTTTTATATAAAAATTTGGATTATTGTGTGATAGTTCAAATAACAGTTTTACTGGTGGAAATTTTTTATGGGAAAAGCAATGATCATTTAAGTAAATTTTAAAATAAAAAATGCTAACATGATATGATAAATTATCTTGATGTTAAAAAGGCACTGCTTCATGAATAATATTACTATGAAAAAATACTTGAGACCCTAAAGGCCTATAAACAAGAAATATTTTATTTAGGAAATGAAAAAATATATATAGGGAGCAATAGCTTGGGGAACCCTGAGTTCTATTCCCTATTTTACTGTTTATTCTGTAGCTGTGAGCAACTAATTTAACCTTCCAAAATCTTTTCCTCATTTGGGTAAGGAATGAATAATACTTTCCAGCTACATCAATAACAGGGATGCCCTGGTGGATGATGATGCTTATTTTGTACATTAAGCTCTGTGAGTGGGAAGGCAAGTACTACAATGCAAACAGAAGCTGTTATCATTGATCCACTTTCTGTTTTAATACTTACTTTAACAATATTTATTTTGGTTCTGTTAGGTACCAGGGAACAAATGACATGCCTTTCTGTAAATTCTAAGCCTCTGAAATGCAGCTTTCATTTCTTACTCATTATTGTATCCTGTCCATTCAAGCTTTGCTTTTAATCTTCTACATGGTAAAAAATCAACAAATGTTTATTTAGACCATGAATATTTTGAATTGTTTCAAAGTTTGAATGGTTTGTTTCTCTTACAAGACTGTCAGCTTTCAAAGAAAGGAACTTCTGTTTGCTACTATCCTCTTACTCCCCATCATTGGAACAAAGTGACCTGTTCTGGAATAGATTTCCTCACAAGCATAGCTATAGAATATTCATTAGAAACATGACATCCACATCTTTGTGGCATATACTATAAGATCATTAACTAAAATATAAGAGAAAGGATATAAACTAAATAAATTTCTAAAGCTTTTAAAAATTGCTAAACTTTTATTATCCAGCTTCTCAATAAATGTGAGTTCAGAAGACAGTAATTTCTATAAATTTATTAAAATTTAATCTACTAAATATAGTTCTTTGAACATGGAATACAGCTGGATTTGTTTAAATATTCTTGTGTATGTCAAGTATTTAAGAATAAAGAATAGTCAGTTTTCACATGCGGTGTTTTGTATTACCAGGTAAATTGCTAACTTGAATTCCTGTTTATCACACCAGGGTCTGATTTATTTTGAATGTCTTGTAAAATGTCCATCTATATTGTTTTTATAGTTGAGGTTTTACCAAGGGTTCCCTGCCTTTAAACTTTATTTACATATGGAAGATTTTCATTTTTCTCTTCAAAGCTCTTCACAGTTAAACTGTGCTTTAGAAAAGACCTTACACTCTATAATCATTTCTGCACTTCTCAAAACTGCCACCATTTCTTCAGGAATATAGAAGTAGGAAATCAGTAAAACTTCAAGGAAAGAGTGGTGGGACAGTAATGGGGAAATA